AATTGGAGAAATTTAGAATTTATTGGATGATTAATGATTGCAACACCAGTTTTATGCCTCGTATACAGCATTAATTGGACTTAGTTAARACATGGAACTTTTCATCCACTGATCCGATTGAAAAAGCTGCCTCAAACTGATTAGAGGGTAGCTYGCACATAGCTTTATGAAAATTATCAAGTCTCCAATTTGGATGACCGATTATAGACACCCCCAAAACATTGAATATTTGATCAATAAAAAGTTCCATGTCTAACGTGAACCTTACCAGTACTAGAAACAAAATAGACTTTGCAGGATTGCAGCCAACCATGGTGTATGGCAAGGTACAGCATGCCGTGTTACTAACAGTATGGCTTTAGGATGGAATCATAGTCAATTTATCCTGTCACTCCAAATCTGTACCATGGTTTACTGAATCCTACCTATTCTGCATTACAGCAAGAGTGACAAATGGTATTTTTTTGCTGACCAATCGTTTATAAATATAAAATTTAAGGTGGCTTGAAAAGGTTTTTTCCAATTTAACCTTGTTTAAAACAAAGTTCTAGCCATTTGAATTTTCTTAATGAATTGTTTTCGACCATGTATTTGCATTAATGTGAATTCATTCCAACATCAGATAAGTCAATTTTTCAAATCACTTTAGATAACCAATCCATTCCCGTGCCGTGGTAATGATACGAGTTAATTTTTATAACAACATTTTTAATTTGAAATCATTTTAACAAATATATCGTTTCAAAGAAAGTACAGAAGCAAACTAAGTTTTAGTATACCATTTGTCATCTCTTGTTGTACTTTTACTCAAGCAACACCTACGTCAGACTATGAGATGAACACACCAAGCCTGTTGAATACCGATGCCAAATAGTTTGATTTCTTGTTTGTAAATAGGTAAAATTTATTGAGTAAAATCAAATTGCTAATAATTTTGAGGCTTTCCACATTGGCCAATGACTAAATGGGTAAAAAAGATAAAATTTGAGCTGATAAATGAAAAAATTTGGAGCTGCGAGATAAATTAATTTTTTGTAATAATTATTATTGGCTAGTTCTAAGAAAAAGCATTCACGTTTTAATGATCTTAGGTCCTAGCCAAACAATTTGAAAGGTTGCCAAAAATAAAAATATTTAGATAATAAAATATCAACGAAAAAAAATTTCTGAACAGGATTGATATGGCGTAGCCATAAAACATCATTCAATATGCAAATGAAATTTTATGCACAGTACGTCTATCTGATGATTGGTGTGTTCACTCATAGTCCTAAGTTAATATTTCACCACTTTAAGAATAAATGGAACCATTTCGAGAGAAACAATTCCACTGATGAGTACAAACACTACAAGCACTTGCAGTTGAGTATGTACAGTGATACAAAAGTAATTTTAGAAATTGCACCTTCCAAACGACATCCTCTGGTTGATTTAAAATAAATGTATAACCAAAATACATCCTACCATATTTCGTATAGTATCTTAAGAGATTCAAAAAAGCATTTGCATGACGAAAGAGGACATTGGTGGAAAATACAAAACTTAATGCTGGTAAATTATGCACTTGACCTACCATGTTGAAGGGAGTGAACCAGGAGTGCAGAATACAGCAGGCAAATCTTTATTAAAGCATCATAATATATGGTAATCAAAGAAAGTAGAACCACACTATCTCATCAAAAATGTTCAATGGAGAAATTGAAAGCCAATAGTAACATGAAAAATATCAAATGCAGCCGATTGGCTATGATTTCGATGATCACGACAAGTACAAGATAGTGGGGTTCTACTGTATCATCAAATGCATCAATGAGAATAACAATCATCATGATGTATACAGTATCCTCTCACTAACTATGGTTGCAAAACTACTAAGAAAATCAATGAGTCAAATAGAAAGCCAAAAAGAGAGTCTTAATTTTTTCAAGTTGCTTAGAAGAATTTATTGTACAGCAAGAGCATACTGTACAGACTGTAAACATTGTTCCAGTGTTTCAGTRTATCAAACAAGGAAATGGTCTAGGAAAAAGCTTTTTTCCAAATGTTGTGATTCTGTGAATTTGCTAAATCTGAATCGCAAACCAAAATGAAAGATGGAAAAAAATAAAACAAAGGTTTTAGAGTAATGAAAATCATCTAAACTCAAATACAAAATACTTAATGTACAAATACTCGCCACTGGAAAAAACAAAATTGAAAGTTGTTTGAATAGAATACACAAAATTTTGAAAGAAACTTTTTCATATGCATCAATAATCAATCAAATGCAATGAATCATTCAATGGGAGACAAATAATCAAGATCAATGAATATCAGTCAAATACAATAAAAGGCAATGGAAATCAATAATCAATCAAATATATATCATAATAATATGTAGAGTTGATCCAAGCCAGCCAGTCATCAGGTCCAAAG